AAAGACTGAATTAGTTTTGGTTTAAAATGTTTAGCGGGCAAAAATTGTTGTTTACAAACGTGGTTGCGTCGAACAATATGCAATCTCGTTCCCAGAGTGGCGGCTTCGTGCGAGGACTAGAAATACGCCCTTACACGCGTAAAAACGCACAAGTTGTTACAAATATGTTCACAAGCTGTCAACAAGTTGTCTTCGCACTGCTTGTTCCCAGTTGTTGGAACAAGTTTGGAACCTAGAGCACAAAATGCTTATCGTAATAAACCATTACATACATCCGAATACGCACAAAATTTTTGAGCATGGTTAAAAAAAGTTACTGCCTCGCCGTATGCCAGCGTATGCGACCGCGCTTGAAACGTATACAACCTATGCCTAACGTACCCCTAGCGTATGTCATGATATCGATTATTATTATTATTATTTAATCTTTTTTACACACATATACAACGGCAGCCCTTCGGCAAGTTTATGTACAGTTCCTTGTAGCTGATTTTCAAGGGGCCGTTGATTAATAATAAAGGAGAAAATAATGCGTAAAAAAAAAATACCCGTGGTTCCGGTTTCATATCGTGAAAAAATTAGGGTCGGTAGGTCGGAAATAATTTTTTTTTTAAATATTTTTTTCATGGTTTTGGCGGTTTTTTGCTGGGCGATTTGCAGTAGAGTCCCGACATCAATATTAAGAGATGCGTATTTCCTATGGACGAATTTAGGCAATTTGGTTCAATAATTAGTGTGACAACAGACGCCATTTTGGCACGCTGTATGAGCAGCCCGCAACCACCTGGAGAAAATAAGGTCGTACGGTCAATCGCGCTGAAAAAAATAATAGGGTCGGCAGAAAAAAATAGGGTCGGTCGGGAACCGGAACCACAGGTATTTTTTTTTTACGCCCTATGATCTCGGCAAATTCAAACAAGATCCCGGCAAGCGGGCCAGCTCACTTTCTCATATGAACACAATGCAAAATTTTATAGGAAAATAGATAGGCGGCGAGATCATCGGTAAGCGAGACGTCCCGGTAAGCGGGATCATATGAACAGGCCCTATGACCTATTTAAAATTGTATTAAGGCCACATAAAAAAAAATATGTAGTATTTCTGTTGACTGTAGTCAATTGTGTTAATAATTTGCGAAATTGCGTGCGAAAATGACGGTATGTTATATTTTGAAATATATAAAAAAATATCTGTACTGCGCAAGAAAATCCAGTTTCGGACTTAACAGTGAGTAAAACCAAGGCGTTAAAAATTAGTAAAAATTAAAAAAAAAGCGCCCGCCCGCCCACTTTTTGGCAAAAGCTATTAAAGGACGCTAACCAACTATTTTTTTTTATATGGCCTAAGGTATTAAGTCCTATAAAGGCTATAAAGTGTTTAGTACTACAGTACGAAGTTACGAACGAAACTAGCTATAAATTATTTACATAACAGCTATGCATTCATACACATAACTGTAAGAATACAATGTATTAACAATGAAACTATGAAAGTATGTATTTGCTTGTCGGTATTGCCGTGATATAAACACTTTAAACACGTTTTCACCAAAAAGTGAAAAGCCTTCAAAAACTTACAATTAAGACAGGCAGTTCTTTCATCCAGGCGTTGTCTCTTTAACCATGATTGAATTTCCAGTACAGCGATGTAGCGAAATTTCCGGCCGTCTTTCACGACAAATAACATCACAAATATTAAGTCAATATAAACTGCACGTATTTTCCTCTTTGCCAGAGTATCGTTTTCCCTGTCCATTGAGTTATAATTTACAAAACTAACCAGTCGTTATAACGTAAAGTAAGGGGGTATTTTGTGAACATAAATGCCCTTTCAATCACACGATGTAAACCGGCCACATCTTATCTTCTCCAAGCATTACAAATTTTCCCGCCAAAAACTCTGTAGTGAAGGCGAAGTCCCGTATGAAACGACGTCACAGGTGTCATTGAGCATGCGCATTATATTTGGTGGTTAAATATTTCAAAAATAGGCACTAAATCCAATTTCAATCTCTTTATTTTCGCTTTTCACATATTGTTCGACCCAACTACGATTGCGACCCAACTACGATTGCGACACAACAATTTTTGCCCGCTAAAGGCCCATTTACACGATACGATTAGTTGTATACGATTGTCATTCTGACGAATGAAAACGAGTGCTAATGCCACAGATTAAGAGGACATTAAGAGGTCCTCTTAAGAGGATTAAGAGGTCCTCTTAATCTGTGCTAATGCCACGTTATTGCTCATTCGCTAATGGCGAAATTTGAAATGTGACGTTTGTACGCGTGTTTATTCGATCACATACGCCAGAGTAAGAATCGTATACGACTAATCGTACCGTGTAAATCAGGCCTGCGTGTAAATGGGCCTTAAACATTTTAAAATCAGCAAAAATATTTTGTATTATTTCATAATTTATAAAAATATGCTCTTCGGCCCAACATCGGGAAAATCCGAAGTTGGCGAAGCCACTGAGCTGTATGCAGCACTGGATGTCTGTTTTATTTTTCAGACATTACTTCATGTAACCAAGCTTGTTCTGGCTCAAACAACATGGCCGCTCAAATTTTCAAAAAATCATGTAAAATTGTAAATTAGGTAAGCGTATTTGTAAATTAGGTAAGCACATTTGATCCTATCCACATGTATTATTTGCGCTGTAGAAATGTTAATTGTTATAAACGTAAGGGGTGAACCATACATTATTAAAACACTTGTTTACAGTAATAGTAGTGTTTTTTTATATCATATCTGAAAATATGCTTGTGTTGCGCACTCGGCCACTCGCATTTTAAATATGATAAAATACTCCTACGCGTGTTTTAAATAGTATTTAAAATGCGCACAAAGTTCACCTGACTCTGCTATCTAGTGATTGGCGATAATGCATGAGTCAATTCCTGGAGTAACCATCCCCCCCCGGAATTTGCCTTTCATATATGTGCACGCGGGCCGGGTATTGGAGAACCCCGGGGATTTGACAAATGGTTGACCAAAATCCCACCCACAAATTTTAAGGCAGCAAAACCTAGTTTCAGGCACGCATGTGGGCGCGCTGATCGTATTTTGCACCCTCGTGGTCAAGGTGGCGTGAAATTTATTGTAAGAATAAGCGAAAATTATACCCTGTGCCATGCAAATTTAAGTACAACTATTAAAGGTTTATGTTTTATAATATTCCATAGCAGTTTAATACTACAATGTTATTAAATGACTATGATTATATGCCATTAAAAGTTTAATTAACGTTTACAGTCGATTTCACGAAACTTTGACCACAAATTTTCCGAACTTCGTTGCGAAGTTCACAAGATTGTTGCGAAGTTCAAAAGTTCATAATGAGATTCACAAACCAGTTCGTAAACTACGCATCTGATTGGCTTCTTTTACTTCACGGACCAATCAGGAACTTTGTTTACAAATTGGCTTGTGAATTCCAATATGAGCTTCCGAACTTCGCAACGAACTTGCGAACTTCGCAACGAAGTTCGGAACATTTGTGGTCAAAGTTTCGTGAAATCGACTGTAAAATCGTCCCCGGGGTATGGCATTTTCCACTCTCAGCTTGCCCGGGGGCTGTGCATTAGTCTTCAAGTTGTGTCCCGGCACCCGGGCATTTACACTATCATAACCAACCAAATCACCCGGTGGGATGGTTACTCCTGGAATTGACTCATGCATAATATTGTGTAGTTCATTATGTATGCTAACTCGCATGGTTATAGACACTATAAAACCCTGAAAATATAGTAATATATCTTGTAATCTTAAATATGTCTCATAGTGATCACCAATATGTAAATAAGTTAAAATATGTTATTATTAGTTAGTTATGAACGTTAATAGTTATATTGATGGAACTACAGTACTTTAGCAATATCTTGTAATTATAGATCATGCTAATAAAGTCATTACAATACGTATTGATGTGACCATACAACACAATAAAGCGCTAGAAAGCAAAGTGAGGAGAACTTTGCACAATTTTAAATGTTTTTTTCCAACACAGTTTTAGCTGGTGAATACGTAAATTTGCTTGGCTACCTGTGCTCCAGGCCGAGTATAAAGGATGAGCGTTCACTATTTAAGAGGGGGGTTGTGCCCCCTCTCCCCCCCATGGCTTTCGACACAAATTCAGTTCGAACACAGGTGATTTAAATAGATTTAGGTTTTACCAAAAATATTACTCTTTATATAACTACAGATTTTACTCATAATTATAATATACTAGGCACAAGCTATAGTGAATTATCATTAGTTAGTGAATTATCAAAGTTTTCCTGTGTAAATCTGTTTGTGTCTGTTCATTATGACGGCTTTTAAAATCGGGCGAAAAAGGTCTGGAGGGGGGGTGGGGGGTTGTGATGCTATCTTGGAAACGTCTGTTGTGGGTCTCCAGTGTACTAAAGGTAATTATATATATATATATATATATATATATATATATATATATATATATATATATATATATATATATATATATATATATATATATATATATATATATATATATATATATATATATATATACAGATATAAAATAGAGTATCTGTTGAATTAGAAGTGCTAATATTTATCGTTCATTCATATTGTTTCTCCAACATATTCTGTCTTCGTTTCTTATCACAGACACACATGCATGCATTTTGCTTTTTATTTGTCATGAGCAACACGATGATTTTGGCACTCCATCTGAATTACTTAGTTTTAAACGACCTTTTGTACCTAAAGAGATGACAGACGTATATATAAGGGCCGGTCATTTATGGAAGGGAGGAGGCGGAATTTTTTCTTTCCCAAATTTTTAAAATTGAAAGCCCCCTTAATTAAAAGAGCAGAAATTAGAATATTTTTATTACAATATTTTTCTTTGATTCCCCCCCCCCCCATTTTCATTTTTTACTCAAATGGAGATACCCAGGTGTTATAGTGTTAATTATTAAATAAGAATATGGAACTGATAAGATAATAACGTCAACAAAAAATATATATATTAGCAGAAAATTATAATTAAGAGAATAGTATTTTTTATATATAACACTAAAATTAGGTTTCCATTTGGTCTGGGTGATTGTAACCATGTCAAGATAGCTGATGTAATAATACATTGTCAATTTATATCTGCAATCGGTAAAGACTGATTTGCATACAGCACACAAAAGACAAGATAAATCCAGACTATTTCACATCAGTGACCATGATTTAGTCACAACATTTACAACCAAATTAGGGGTGCACCAGATTTAACTAATTTTCCGGCATCCAGCCGGATTTGGAGAAAATCCGGCCGGATTTAAATTTCTGTTTTCACCTTAAAAAATTCACCAAAAATAGGATAAACTATCAATTTGGCAGCTTTAAAGTTTAAAAACATTTAGATTATTATAAAATATTAAGTTATTAACAAAAAGATATTTAAAAAAGGTTTAAACACAATTAAAAATCTAAACTGACACTAACTAAAAATAGTAAAAAACATAAACCGCCATTTTGAATACTGATTTATCCCCAATTGTCCCCATTACCGGTTTATCTCAAATCCGGCTGGAATTTTTGTCCAAATCCGGTAAATCCGGTTCCGGCCGGATTTGAAAATTCCAAATCTGGTGAACCCCTAAACCAAATGGATAGAGAACTTATCAGGAAATTCCTTCAAATTTAATTGAAACCCCCCTCATTTTCTTTAAAACATTTAATAGCCACCCCCCCCCCTCACCCTCTAGTCCTCCATTTATGCATATGCCCCGACCCCCTATTTTTGCATGGTCTGGTTCCCTCCCATGCACAGGG